CCTGTGTGTGTCGCCTGTGTGTGTCGCCTGTGTGTGTCGCCTGTGTGTGTCACCTGTGTGTGTCACCTGTGTGTGTTGCCTGTGTGTGTCGCCTGTGTGTGTCGCCTGTGTGTGTCACCTGTGTGTGTCGCCTGTGTGTCACCTGTGTGTGTCGCCTGTGTGTGTCCGCCTGTGTGTGTCGCCTGTGTGTCACCTGTGTGTGTCGCCTGTGTGTGTCACCTGTGTGTGTCACCTGTGTGTGTCGCCTGTGTGTGTCGCCTGTGTGTGTCGCCTGTGTGTGTCGCCTGTGTGTCACCTGTGTGTGTCGCCTGTGTGTGTCACCTGTGTGTGTCGCCTGTGTGTGTCGCCTGTGTGTGTCGCCTGTGTGTGTCGCCTGTGTGTGTCGCCTGTGTGTCACCTGTGTGTGTCGCCTGTGTGTGTCACCTGTGTGTGTCGCCTGTGTGTGTCGCCTGTGTGTGTCACCTGTGTGTGTCACCTGTGTGTGTCGCCTGTGTGTCACCTGTGTGTGTCGCCTGTGTGTGTCACCTGTGTGTGTCGCCTGTGTGTGTCGCCTGTGTGTGTCGCCTGTGTGTGTCGCCTGTGTGTCACCTGTGTGTGTCGCCTGTGTGTGTTGCCTGTGTGTGTCACCTGTGTGTGTCGCCTGTGTGTCACCTGTGTGTGTCGCCTGTGTGTGTCACCTGTGTGTGTCACCTGTGTGTGTCACCTGTGTGTGTTGCCTGTGTGTGTCGCCTGTGTGTGTCGCCTGTGTGTGTCACCTGTGTGTGTCGCCTGTGTGTCACCTGTGTGTGTCGCCTGTGTGTGTCGCCTGTGTGTGTCGCCTGTGTGTCACCTGTGTGTGTCGCCTGTGTGTGTCACCTGTGTGTGTCACCTGTGTGTGTCGCCTGTGTGTGTCGCCTGTGTGTGTCGCCTGTGTGTTGCCTGTGTGTGTCGCCTGTGTGTTGCCTGTGTGTGTCGCCTGTGTGTGTCGCCTGTGTGTGTCGCCTGTGTGTGTAGCCTGTGTGTGTAGCCTGTGTGTGTCGCCTGTGTGTGTCGCCTGTGTGTTGCCTGTGTGTGTTGCCTGTGTGTTGCCTGTGTGTGTCGCCTGTGTGTTGCCTGTGTGTGTCGCCGCCTGTGTGTGTCGCCTGTGTGTGTCGCCTGTGTGTGTTGCCTGTGTGTTGCCTGTGTGTGTCGCCTGTGTGTGTAGCCTGTGTGTGTCGCCTGTGTGTCACATGTGTGTGTCGCCTGTGTGTGTCGCCTGTGTGTGTCGCCTGTGTGTGTTGCCTGTGTGTTGCCTGTGTGTGTCGCCTGTGTGTGTCGCCTGTGTGTCGCCTGTGTGTGTCGCCTGTGTGTGTAGCCTGTGTGTGTCGCCTGTGTGTGTTGCCTGTGTGTTGCCTGTGTGTTGCCTGTGTGTGTCGCCTGTGTGTGTCGCCTGTGTGTGTTGCCTGTGTGTTGCCTGTGTGTGTCGCCTGTGTGTGTCGCCTGTGTGTGTCACCTGTGTGTGTCGCCTGTGTGTGTAGCCTGTGTGTGTCGCCTGTGTGTGTTGCCTGTGTGTTGCCTGTGTGTGTCGCCTGTGTGTGTTGCCTGTGTGTTGCCTGTGTGTGTCACCTGTGTGTGTTGCCCTTTTCTCTCATCTCATGGATCCCTGAGATTTGTGCGTTTGTTTTGTGTTCTGCTTTTTATTATGAGGAGAAGTGGGTCTGGGACTCAAAGTTCATCTTGGTCCGACACTGATCTCACTCTGACATTTTAGACCTCATTAGGAAGAAGCAGCAGGTGGGAGAAGAGAAGGCCCAGTGGAGAGAGAACACACACACGCACACACACACACACACATATCTACACATACAGTATACATATACACTTACACAGACAGACAGACAGACACACACACACACACACAGACATATACACAGACAGACATACATATCATATCATACCATATAGTGCGTGTGGCATGGGTTTGTCGAAATACACACACAGACACACACACACACACACACACCCACACACACACGCACTGTTCTCTGGTGCTGTATGCGATCCACCTGGTCCTCGTAATACCATCACAGTGACATGGGTTTTCTAAATACGTACACAAACACACACACACTCTCTCTTATGCCATATACTGTATTGCGTGTGGCATGGGTTTGTCTAAACGCACACACACACACACACACACACACACACACACAGACACACACTCTCTCTCTCTGTATGTGCTCCGAACCCGGCCCCGTAATGCTCCTATTAGCAGCTTCACTTAAACTGGCATTTCATCAGGCAGCTGACAAGTGAATTACCCTGGCTCTTTCCTGCCTATTTCCCTGCCTGCCTCTCTCCCCCTCTCTCTCCCTCTCTCCCCCTCTCTCTCCCTCTCTCTCCCTCTCTCTCCCTCTCTCCCCGTGTGCTCTCCTGCCTGGCTCGCCCTGCTTCCCCCCGGCTCAGTGACAGTAGCCGCAGGCCTGAGATAAAGAGGCGGCGCGGCACAGGAGCGCTCACACACACTCGGCTCCAGTGAAGTGACACCCTGTCAAAACAATAGTTTACTACAACGCCAACTTATGTGTTCTGTCAGAAGCGGCTCAACCTCAACTTTGGGACGTATAGATCGCTCTTTCATATCGATCTAGCCGCACGTTTTCTTTCCAAAGGGGGAGGTGTGTGTGTTTCGTTTTGGGCTGGTCCCCACTTGGATGCCAGCCCACTCTCACAGAAGTGTGTGGATAAAAACTCGGAGGAGAGTTTAGATTCGACATACAGGCGCGTGTACTGCTCCAGGGAGGTGCTAGCTTAAATCCCGGGGACCTGTAGAACATAACAACCCTTCAGCTCGTCTTATAGCGACGGAAGAGGAGGAGGAGCGGCCACGTGTCGCCTCTCTGATGATTCTATAGCTGCAGTTTCAGCGGTGAGAGGCCGACTGTAGTTTTGTTATATATAATACGCATTTAGCAGTAAAAAGCGGACAGAGGACACGCAACAAGAGAGACAAACTCAGAGAGAGAGCAGAGAGAGAGCAGAGAAAGTGAGTGACCAGGAGAGAGAGAGAGACTAGAGTGAGACCTGAGACAGAGAGTCCAGAGAGAGTCCATGAGACCCGAGAGACCGAAATGAGAGACCAGAGAGAGACCGAATAGAGAGACCAGAGTGAGACCAGAGAGAGAGTCCATGAGACCCGAGAGACCGAAAAGAGATACCAGGGTGAGACCTGAGAGAGAGACCAAGAAGAGAGAGACCAGGAAGAGAGAGACCAGAGAGAGACCCGAGTGACACCTGAGACAGAGACTAGAGAGAGACCAGAGAGAGAGTCCATGAGACCCGAGAGCCCAAAGAGAGCCCAGAGTGAGACTAGAGCAAAACCAGAGTGAGATATGAGACAGAGACTGGTGAGACCTCAGAGACCGAAGAGAGAGACCAGAGTGGTACCGAGAGAGAGAATAGAAAGAGCTTAAACAGGGCCTGTGGAAACAGAGTAGAAGCCAAATAATATTAAGTTTGTTTTGACCTTTTGAAAATATTGTAATTTTCAAAAATGTCTTGTTTTTCAGGATATATTCTGCAAATATAAGTTCAGATGAAGAGGTTCTTTTTCTGTTGCACGGACGGGAAATGTCAGTGTTGCATCAGCAGTTACAGAACAGTGGGAAAGAGGAGCCGATAAACGGATATGACACACCTCGACATGACTTATACATGTTTCTGTGTCTCTTATATTTCATTAAGTTCTTTAAGTAAATATGAAACGCTTATTTTGTGGTTAGAAAAGCTCCAAGATGTTTCCTCTACTGCAGATCAGTGACTCCTCAAACTGCTCCAGGGAATATTCGGTAAAAACACAATCTTCTATAAGTTTCTTCCATTTGATTTTTATATCTATTCAGAAATATGTGTTTGAAATTATTATTAACCCAGAGAAATGTATCAGGATAAAAAAGTGAATGAAAAATAGCAGAGTTTTGTCTTTGACTTTAGTACAAGGGTCAAACGGTTTCTGGCTTTAGTGCAGTGTGACGCACGGCCACATGGGGGAGCTCTGACCAGGAGAGCAGCTGCGCCTCACCGGAGTCTCTGCACACGCTCAACAACAAAACAGTTCAAGAATATGTTCTGTATGTCCTGTATATGGGGCCTGTTATATTAGGTCCATAATAATAGTAATAATAATAATAATAATATGGAACTAAGAAAATTGATGCTGTGACGGATAAACATTTAGAAAAGGTCAAAACATCATAAATACATTAAAGAAAGAAATGTTTATTTATTGAAATGTTAAATACAAGAAAACATCGAGAAGGTGTCGGTGTGTGTTTGGTTTTGTCGTTAGATGTTGGAGGAGCACAGGGACTGGCCTCGTGCTGGGACTCTGAGGAGCACAGGGACTGGCCTCCTGCTGGGACTCTGAGGAGCACAGGGACTGGCCTCCTGCTGGGACTCTGAGGAGCACAGGGACTGGCCTCCTGCTGGGACTCTGAGGAGCACAGAGACTGGCCTCCTGCTGGGACTCTGAGGAGCACAGGGACTGACCTCCTGCTGGGACTTTGAGGAGCACAGGGACTGGCCTCCTGCTGGAACTCTGAGGAGCACAGGGACTGGCCTCCTGCTGGGACTCTGAGGAGCACAGGGACTGGCCTACTGCTGGTCCCAGAGTCAGATCTATTTTATCTTTTCTCTCTCGTGCTGTGATTATTTATGGTTGCGTTGCCGCTTCTCTCTTGAGCGCTGTGAGTTTCCTTGTGTATGAACCCTTCTATACAAATTGATTTGAGATAAATGACAAAAACATGATTTAAACGCTAAAGCAGGTATAGTGTGTGTTGTGCCCCGCGGTCAGATGGTGAAACTCTGGCTGTAGCACAAAGGAAAGCCCCCCCTCATCAGTGCGAGACCGGCCAGGACCAGCAGCAGCAGCAGCAGCAGCAGCAGCAGCAGCAGAAGACAGAGAGACGGACACAGATCCATATTTAATGTATTCCTGTGTGTTACCTGGGCAGCAGTGGTAACAGGCTCTGAGCCCTTTAATGGGATTTAGCCTCAGGCAGTTTTATTAAGATGTTGGCTTTCCCTTCTGCCTCTGCAGCTGACACCATTCCCCACTGATACCCCGCCTGCCCCCCCTCTCCCATCGCCTGTTCCCCCCCTCCACACACCCACCCGGACTTCACCCCACGCCGGCACCTCCTCATCTGGGCCTCCTCGCTGCGCCTGCCCTTGGTGCCCCTCAGAATCTCAGTGTGATTTATAATGAGTGAGTGGTATAATGGGAGTGTGGTACTTTTGTGGCTCCTGTAAAGTGTGTCCAGCAGTGGGGGGTCAAGTTGTTCTGTGACACATGGTGTGTGTCTGTGTGTGTGTGTGTGTGTGTGTGTGTGCGTGGGGGGGGGGGGGTGGGGCTGGGGGGGGGGGGGCTATGTACAAGGCTATTTAGGTATTTCTGTAGGTGACAATATGAGAAATACGTTTTAAAAAATCAAACCTGCCTTTTTATTCTTGTGTCTTAAAAGTGAGGAGTCCTTTGAGCAACATGTGTTTGGAATATTGTCGACACTTCTGCACTTTAATGAGGAAGTACTGAGATTGTAGTTGATAGACTAGAGAGAGAGACCAGAGAGACTAGAGAGAGAGTCCATAGAGACTAGAGAGAGACCATAGAGACTAGAGAGAGAGACCAGGAGAGACCAGAGAGAGAGACCAGAGAGAGACCAGAGAGAGAGACCAGAGAGAGACCAGAGAGAGACCAGGAGAGACCAGAGAGAGAGACCAGAGAGAGACCAGAGGAGAGACCAGAGAGAGAGACCAGAGAGAGAGACCAGAGAGACAGAGAAGAGACCAAGAGCAGGAGAGACCAGAGAGAGACCAGAGGAGAGAGCCAGAGAGAGACCCAGAGAGAGACCAGAGAGACCAGAGAGAGAGACTCGAGAGAGACCAGAGAGAGAGACCAGAGAGAGACAAGAGAGAGAGACCAGAGAGAGACCAGAGAGAGACGACAGAGAGAGAGACCAGAGAGAGACCAGAGAGAGACCAGAGAAGAGACCAAGAGAGAGACAGAAGAGAGAGACCAGAGAGAGACCAAAGAGAGAGACCAAGACACCAGACACAGAGTACCAGAGCCAGAGCCCAGCAGAGAGAGCCAGCGAGCGACCAGCAGATCGAGTACAGAGAGAGCAGGCCAGAGAGAGGCCAGAGAGAGGCCAAGAGATAGACCAGAGGGAGACCAGACAGCCACCAGAGAGAGAACCAGAGAGGAGGACCATAGCGAGACCAGAGAGAGAACTCTACAAGAGAGAAGCCAAGAGAGAGACCAGAGAGAGACCCCAGAGAGAGACCAGAAAGCAGTAAGGAACAACGAGACAAAAAGAGAGCGCACAGACAAGAGTGAACCCGAAACCGACCAGAAGAGAGACCCAGAAGAGAGACCAAAGAGAGGGTCTCCCAGAAAGAGACCAAGAGAGACCAGAGAGATTACTAGGAAAACACCACCCAAAGAGAAGAGGAGACCCGCCCCGGAAGGGACGACCGCAGGAAGACCAGAGAGGAGGAAGAGGGGAGAGAACACGGTGGTGGAGGTCGCCACATCCCCCCATACCCTCGAGCCTCCCGACCATGAGCCCACCCACCCCAGACACCAATCCCCAATTATGGGTTCAACCACCAAAAAAAAAGACAGTTTATTTTTATACTTATTTTTAATTTTATTAATAAAGGCGCATACAAGATTTTAGTAAATTTATAACAGTAAAGGACCAATTTTTATATAATATTAAACAACAAAACACAAAGTAGGATCCTCTGAGTTCAGCCAACACCGTGAAGACCCAACACATGAGAGCAAGTATGTCACAACACAAACGATCACACACTATAACAAAACACAATAACCCACACAATTACACACACAATTCACTTCCTGCCATGTTCCTGTGGATTTCACCTGACCTTCATGTGATCGCACTTACCACCTTCCTCCAAAAACACTCTCGCGCTGCTGAACATCGCCACCACACCACGCCCCCCCCCCCCCAGCCATACCACACCACACCTACCCCCTAACACCCCCCCCCCCCCTCCCCCAGTCCCCCCCCCCCCCCTCTTCCTTCTTCCCCCCCCCCCCCCCCCCCTACCCCCCCCCGCCCCCCCCCCCCCCCCCCCCCCCCGGGAGCTCGCTCCCCCCCCCCCTTATCCACACCCCCCACACCCGCCCCCCGCCCCCCCCACCCCCCCCCCATCCCCCCCACCCCCCCCCCCCCCCCCCCCCCCCCTACCCACGCGCCCCCCCCCCCCCCCCCCCCCCCCCCGGCCCCACCCCCGACCCACCGACCCCCCCCCCCCCCCCCCCCCCCCCCCCCCCCCCCCCTCCCCCCCCCCCCCCCCCCCCCCCCCCCCCCCCCCCCCCCCCCCCCCCCCCCCCCCCCCCCCCACCCCCAACCCCCCCCCCCCACCCCCCCCCCCCCCCCCCCCCCCCCCCCCCCCCCCACCCCCCCCCCACCCCCCCCCCCCCCCACCCCCCCCCCCTCCACCCCCCCCCCCCCCCCCCCCCCCCCCCCCCCCTCCCCACCCCCCCCCCCCCCCCACCCCCCCCCCCCCCCCACCCCCCCCCCCCCCCCCCCCCCCCCCCCCCCCCCCCCCCCCCCCCCCCCCTCCCCCCCCCATCCCTCCCCCCTGCCTCCCCCACAGGCACTGGGGCGATTCAGGAACACACGCTGAGGGCTTTGAACAAGACTCTAATGCAAACTGGAGTTAAATGCATATTTTCTGCTGATGGAGGAGGTGAAAAGGAGTGTTGCATTATGGGAAATCAGATCAGTGACATCACAGGTGGAGCACACAGAGAGGCAGCCATGTTTGATTAGAGCGACTTCATCTCCCTCTGCCCTGGACTCGCAAACAGAATTAAAATATCTAAATTATTGATAATTCACAATATCACAAAAGACAATATTGATATTTTTTAATGTTATTTTTATATTATTATGTTCTTGTTTAGGTCCAGAAAAAAAACAGGACCAGAGTGAGACCAGAAAGAGAAACCAGAGACCAGAGAGAGCCCAGAGAGACTAGAAAGAGACCAGATATTGTGTTGTTATTTTTACGTTATTCCGTTCATGTTTGATTTAACTAAGAGTTTTTGATCAATACATTTCCTGTAGACCCAGGACTGAGGCTGTAGACCCAGGACTGAGGCTGTAGACCCAGGACTGAGGCTGTAGACCCAGGACTGAGGCTGTAGACCCAGGACTGAGGCTGTAGACCCAGGACTGAGGCTGTAGACCCAGGACTGAGGCTGTAGACCCAGGACTGAGGCTGTAGACCCAGGACTGAGGCTGTAGACCCAGGACTGAGGCTGTAGACCCAGGACTGAGACTGTAGACCCCGGACTGAGACTGTAGACCCAGGACTGAGGCTGTAGACCCCGGACTGCGGCTCTAGACCCAGGACTGAAGCTGTAGACCCAGGACTGAGGCTGTAGACCCAGGACTGCGGCTCTAGACCCAGGACTGAGACTGTAGACCCAGGACTGCGGCTCTAGACCCAGAACTGAGGCTGTAGACCCCGGACTAAGTCTCCAATGTGTTCATGTCAGTATCGTGTATCGCCCTGTGACCTAAACCACCAAAACCACTTTCTTTTTTTTAACCCTCACATCTCTCTTCTTCTCCTCATAGCTCACAGCGACTTCTGCAGCCTGCCCCAATGCATTGTGGGATTGTGTGTGTGCCGTTGTTTGTCTCCGTGTGGCTTGAGTGCTTTTGCTGTTTCTTCCCCGGCAGGCACTTCTGATTGGTCGGCCCCGGGGAGCGCCAGTATCATGTTTTAGCCCCAAACCAACAAGCATATCCCTCTTCCAATGGCGGACCCGGCCGTGTGTGCGCGTGCGAGACGGCGAGGTCCTGTGCGTTCAGGCGTTGCTTCTTCTTCTACTAAAGTGGAGTCTGTCTTGGAGGTGAAGCCTGATGAGCTATGACATCACAGCACTTTGTTTGATCTTTTAAACATGAGCCAGGAGTGCCCGCTTTCCCATAATGAGGCCGCAGTACACAGGCAGGAGGGGAGGGGGCGCTAGCATGAGTTTTAGCATGTTTGTGTTTCTCTCTCTGTGTGTGTGGATGAGTAAAAGGTTAGCATCGGGCAGTGCTAACTCGCTAGCTCGATTGCAATCCAATAGGGAAAGCGCTCATGGACGAAGTTTGGCTCCAACTATCTCTGGCTCCTACTGACTTATATGTAAAAGTAAGTCAAGTCAAATTTGGGTTTAAAAATCAGTGGTTTAGCTTTTGGTACAAGTGCTAGACTAGTAATGTTTAAATGTTGTTATTACCCGGCTCCTCACAGCAGCAGTAGACAAAAACATAGATAAAGTCCAAGAAACAATTGAAAAAAATCAACAAAAACAGTTTTAATACAAGTGAAGAGGTGAACATGCTAACAGCTGAAAGAAGCTGTTAGCGTGTCCAGATGTCCTGCAGCCAACACAATCTTCTGCCAGAGGGAAGAAGCTGGAACATGGCTTTTCCAGGAGCCAAAAGAGTGATTGAATATTCGAAAAAGAAGGATTCATAAAGAGCCTCGAGGACAGACAGATCACAGTCAGAGAGTTTGTGGTTTCTCTCTCTGGTCTCTCTTTCTGTTCTTTCACTGGACTCTCTCTGGTCTCTCTCTAGTCTCTCTCTATTGTCTCACTCTCTCTAGTCTCTCTCTCTTGTCTCTCTCTCTCTAGTCTCTCTCTCTTCTCTCACTCTCTTGTCTCTCTCTAGTCTCTCTCTCTCTTGTCTCACTCTCTCTAGTCTCTCTCTCTTCTCTCACTCTCTAGTCTCTCTCTCTTGTCTCTCTCTCTCTAGACTCTCTCTCTTGTCTCTCTCTCTAGTCTCTCTTTCAGTTATCTCACTGGCCTCTCTCTCTCTAGTCTAACTCTTTCTAGTCTTTCTCTCTCTGGTCTTCATGGTCTCTCTCTCTGATCTCTCTTGTCTCTCTCTCTCTAGTCTCTCTCTTTAGTCTCTCTCTTGTCACTCTCTCTCTGATCTCTCTCTGATCTATCTCTAGTCTCTCACCCATGTCTCTCTCTCTATGCTCTCTCTCTCTTGTCTTTCTCTCTCTGGTCTCCATGGTCTCTCTCTCTGATCTGTTTCTCTGAGTTTATGACAAATTCTCAAAGTTTCCAGAGAAAGAAAAGAGGAAGGGTCTCATTAGACAGAGATGAACCCATAAACCTGTCTCTTCTGCGCAGAGACAAACATCCGCTCCTCTGACCTCCACCAAACCATTTCACTTTGTTGAGTCGCCGGCAAAGTCAGGGGAAAAGTGAGTAGAAAAGTATTTTTGCAGTGGATCTGAAATGTTGTTCTGTTGTGCTTCCACATGTGGTAAATATTAATGTTATTTGTTTTAAAGCCTGGCCTCACGGAGAGACACACGCAGTTGGTCTGTATTTACCGCCTGATTCTTGTCCATAATAAACTAAACAGTTGGCGGGGGGCCGTCTGAGGCAGGATGAAGGCTCTGTTCCCCTTGTAGAGCAAATGGACTCACGCTGGTCCCGGTTTAAACATCGGGTCAAGTGCAGAGCGGCCTCTCGCTGCTCCATGCATCAAATATACAACCACAGGCCACGCCCTCACCACAGGCCACGCCCTCACCACAGGCCACGCCCTCATGATGTCAGGGGGAGATGGGAGCCAACTTTTCCTCCACAATACTTGCACTAAACACACCATACTGTGCTAATAAAAGGGCTGTACTTGCTTTAATAATAATACAAATGATAATAATACTTCAAACTTATAAAGCACTTTTTGGACACTTAAAAAACACGTACAAATAAAAATGGAGGAATGAAATTAGGGAAAGGCTACGGTTAAACAGGTTTGGAGAAGTGAGGGAGTTTCTGAGAGAGCGGGCTGCGGTGAAGGCCCGGTCCTCAGGGTTCAGACTCGGTCCTCAGGGTTCAGAAGGCTCGGCCCTCAGGGTTCAGAAGGCCCGGTCCTCAGGGTTCAGACTTGGTCCGCAGGGTTCAGACTCGGTCCTCAGGGTTCAGACTCGGTCCTCCGAAGGCTCGGTCCTCAGAAGGCTCGGTCCTCAGGGTTCAGACTCGGTCCTCAGGGTTCAGAAGGCCCAGTCCTTAAGGTTCAGACTCGGTCCTCAGGGTTCAGATGGCCTGGTCCTCAAGGTTCAGAAGGCCCGGTCCTCAAGGTTCAGACTCGGTCCTCAGGGTTCAGAAGGCTTGGTCCTCAGGGTTCAGAGGGCCCGGTCCTCAGGGTTCAGAAGACTCGGTCCTCAGGGTTCAGAAGGCTCAATCCTCAGGGTTCAGACTCGGTCCTCAGGGTTCAGAGGGCCCGGTTCTCAGGGTTCAGAAGACTCGGTCCTCAGGGTTCAGACTCGGTCCTCAGGGTTCAGACTCAGTCCTCAGGGTTCAGACTCGGTCCTCAGGGTTCAGACTCGGTCCTCAGGGTTCAGACTCAGTCCTCAGGGTTCAGACTCGGTCCTCAGGATTCAGACTCGGTCCTCAGGGTTCAGACTCAGTCCTCAGGGTTCAGACTCGGTCCTCAGGGTTCAGACTCGGTCCTCAGGGTTCAGACTCAGTCCTCAGGGTTCAGACTCGGTCCTCAGGGTTCAGACTCGGTCCTCAGGGTTCAGACTCGGTCCTCAGAGTTCAGAAGGCTCGGTCCTCAGGGTTCAAAAGGCTCAATCTTCTGGAGCCGCATTAAAATGTGGATCAGGCCAGATGTGGTCCCCAGGCTGTAGATCGATGAAGCAGAACAGGAAAGAGGACCAGGGCAGTGCTGTGATGGGAGACCTCTGGGAACAGGTGCCACAGTGGGGCGGCTGCGGCTGTAAAGTGCCAAACTGTCATTGTGTCCTTAGGCAATACACATCACCCACATTAGAATGAGTTTGGTGTGTGTGTGAAGGGTTGGTGGTGGGAGGGGCTGATGGCACAGACTAGTTGCCTCACTTCTGTCAGTGTGCCCCAGGGCAGCTGTGGCTAACGTAGCAGTTTATCACCACTGTGTTTGGAGAGTAAGCATATGGAAACGTGAAGCCAGAAAAGCGCTGTATAAAACATGCATTATTACTAAAGCAGGTGTTGTTGCTATAGATTCTTTTATAATTATGGATTAGAAAGATTCCCCCCAAACTGTGATGGCGGTCGGCCTCAAACCGCCTCGGATTATGGAACTAGGAAAAGTTATGGGAGTAAATCATTGAGATGCACAAAAGAGTGTCCCTGCTCCTAATCCTCATGGGAAACTGTCCCAGGCCGCTTCCCCGATGTCAGTGCCATGTTGTGAGACGGGCGGGATCGAGGCTAACGCGGCTGTGTGTGAGATTAACCAGCGTTAGCATCCTTAGCCTCCGCGCACCAACGCAACAGCAGACTGCAATTAACCCGCTAATCCCGCTAATCCTGCAAATCCACTAATGGAGCTAATCTGATGGAGAGAGCGTTTCAATTGGCTTCGGGCGCCGCGCACACATTAAGTCACTGTATTTTTTAATTAATGAAGCGTTTACGACCGGGAAACGGCGGACGCTGGAGCAGCTTGATCTGATTTGTTTACAACTAAAAGTGCACTTTACTCAACTCTACCATAATGATATACTCCAGAGTCTGGTACTCTCTGGTCTCACTCTGGTCTCTCTCTGGTCTCACTCTGGTCTCTCTCTGGTCTCTCTCTGGTCTCTCTCTGGTTTCACTCTGGTCTCACTCTGGTCTCACTCTGGTCTCTCTCTGGTCTCACTCTGGTCTCTCTCTGGTCTCACTCTGGTCTCTCTCTGGTCCCTCTCTGGTCTCACTCTGGTCCTTCTCTGGTCTCTCTCTGGTTTCACTCTGGTCTCACTCTGGTCTCTCTCTGGTCTCTCTCTGGTCTCACTCTGGTCTCTCTCTGGTCTCTCTCTGGTCTCTCTCTGGTCTCTCTCTGGTCTCTCTGGTCTCTCTCTGGTCTCACTCTGGTCTCTCTCTGGTCTCACTCTGGTCTCTCTCTGGTCTCTCTCTGGTCTCTCTCTGGTTTCACTCTGGTCTCTCTCTGGTCTTTCTCTGGTCTCACTCTGGTCTCTCTCTGGTCTCTCTCTGGTCTCACTCTGGTCTCTCTCTGGTCTCTCTCTGGTCTCACTCTGGTCTCTCTCTGGTCTCTCTCTGGTTTCACTCTGGTCTCTCTCTGGTCTCACTCTGGTCTCTCTCTGGTCTCACTCTGGTCTCTCTCTGGTCTCACTCTGGTCTCACTCTGGTCCTTCTCTGGTTTCACTCTGGTCTCTCTTGTCTCACTCTGGTCTCTCTCTTTGGTCTCACTCTGGTCTCTCTCTGGTCTCTCTTTTTGCTCTCTCTATGGCCTCACTCCGGTCTCTCTCTTTGGTCTCACTCTGGTCTCTCTCTTTGGTCTCTCTCTTTGGTCTCTCTCTTGTCTCACTCTGGTCTCTCTCTTTAATCGCTCTATGGCCTCTCTATGGCCTCACTCTGGTCTCACTCTGGTCTGCCACATTAATATGTACTGTCCTAGATTCAATTAAATAAATACTTATAATAATTAAGTATCTGATTTCTTAAACACACTACACTCACACAGTCTGGCATCATCATCATCATCATCATCCTCCTCTTCATCATCATCATCATCATATTCATCCTCATCATCATCATCTTCATCCTCATCATCCTCATCATCATCCTCATCATCACCATCTTCATCCTCATCATCCTCTTCATCATCCTCATCATCATCATCATCACCCTCATCATCCTCTTCATCATCTTCATCATCATCATCATCTACTTCTTCATCATCCTCATCATCTTCATCCTTACCATCATCATCTTCTTCATCATCATCATCCTCATCATCCAGATTGAGAGCAATCCACAATTGGGCAGCAGCAGTAGCAGTAGCAGCAGCAGTAGCAGCAGCAGCAGTAGCAGTAGCAGCAGCAGCAGCAGCAGCAGTACCAGTAGCAGTAGCAGTAGCAGTAGCAGCAGCAGCAGCAGCAGTAGTAGCTGTAGTATAGCAGCTGTAGTAGCAGTAGTAGCAGTAGCAGTAGCAGCAGCAGTAGCAGCAGCAGCAGCAGCAGCAGCAGCAGTAGCAGTAGTATAGCAGCAGTAGCAGTAGTAGCAGTAGCAGCAGCAGCAGCAGCAGCAGTAGTAGCTGTAGTATAGCAGCAGTAGTAGCAGTAGTAGCAGTAGCAGCAGCAGCAGCAGCAGCAGTAGTAGCAGTAGTATAGCAGCAGCAGCAGCAGTAGTAGCAGCAGCAGCAGCAGCAGCAGCAGCAGTAGCAGCAGCAGTAGTAGCTGTAGTATAGCAGCAGTAGTAGCAGTAGTAGCAGTAGCAGCAGCAGCAGCAGCAGCAGTAGTAGCAGTAGTATAGCAGCAGCAGCAGCAGTAGTAGCTGTAGTATAGCAGCAGCAGCAGCAGTAGTAGCAGCAGCAGCAGCAGCAGCAGTAGCAGCAGCAGTAGTAGCAGCAGTAGCAGTAGCAGCAGCAGTAGTAGCAGCAGTAGCAGTAGCAGCAGCAGCAGCAGCAGCAGCAGCAGCAGCAGCAGTAGCAGCAGCAGCAGCAGCAGCAGCAGCAGTAGCAGCAGCAGTAGTAGCAGCAGTAGCAGTAGCAGCAGCAGTAGTAGCAGCAGTAGCAGCAGCAGTAGCAGTAGCAGCAGCAGTAGTAGCAGCAGTAGCAGTAGTAGCAGCAGCAGTAGTAGCAGCAGTAGCAGTAGCAGCAGCAGTAGTAGCAGCAGTAGCAGTAGTAGCAGCAGCAGCAGCAGCAGTAGTAGCAGCAGTAGCAGTAGTAGCAGCAGTAGCAGTAGTAGCAGCAGAAGCAGAGTAGAGACATCTTGCCCACAGCCATAGTCCGCCTGGGGCCCCTGTCAGACCACACAGAGCGGAGGAGACAGGGGCCATAACGACAGAAGGACTCTCTCCAAAGTGAAAAACTGTCAATCCACAGAAATATTTATACCAACATCAGGTCTGATGATCTGCTGCGAGCGTCGCCCTGGTCCTCAGACAACGGCAGAACCATCACTCTGTCCTCTACTGGTGTCTACAGGTGTCTAATAGTGTATATAGTCTATCCAGGACTGAGGCTGTAGACCCAGGACTGAGGCTGTAGATCCAGGACTGAGGCTGTAGATCCAGGACTGAGGCTGTAGATCCAGGACTGAGGCTGTAGACCCAGGACTGAGGCTGTAGACCCAGGACTGAGGCTGTAGACCCAGGACTGAGGCTGTAGACCCAGGACTGAGGCTGTAGATCCAGGACTGAGGCTGTAGATCCAGGACTGAGGCTGTAGATCCAGGACTGAGGCTGTAGATCCAGGACTGAGGCTGTAGACCCAGGACTGAGGCTGTAGACCCAGGACTGAGGCTGTAGATCCAGGACTGAGGCTGTAGATCCAGGACTGAGGCTGTAGATCCAGGACTGAGGCTGTAGACCCAGGACTGAGGCTGTAGACCCAGGACTGAGGCTGTAGACCCAGGACTGAGGCTGTAGACCCAGGACTGAAGCTGTAGACCCAGGGCTGAGGCTGTAGACCCAGGACTGAGGCTGTAGACCCAGGACTGAGGCTGTAGACCCAGGACTGAGGCTGTAGACCCAGGACTGAGGCTGTAGACCCAGGGCTGAGACTGTAGATCCAGGACTGAGGCTGTAGACCCAGGGCTGAGACTGTAGATCCAGGACTTAGGTTCTAGCAAGATTTCAGCTCTACGTTTTTTACATTCTACTGTAAATACACAAATTAGACGGACTTTGACGGTAATTTTCAACCAGTCCAATTTACAGTATGATAAAGTACATTTCCTCGTTAGAAAACTCTATGAAATGCCAATATCTTCGACATTTTCAGTAGATTCAGATCAAATCGGGAACACAACTCTTCCTAATACAAACAGAAAAACTAGATAAACTCTCTGATCTCCTGGGGGGGGGGGATAAAAGTCACAGAGAAACCAACAATGAGACATGACAGAAACGCACATGTCTTTGGTCAACATACTAAAGGCTATTAAACTTCACACCGTCGTCGCGGAAACCGTTTTATTCCCGTCTCTTCCCTCTTCCCGGCAGAAACGGCCTGGCATCTCCCTCACTTTGATCCCAGCTCCGTGTGATGTCACTTTGTTGCGTGTCTCCGAAGCAACAACCTGTCCCCATCGCTTCCTCCTGAAGGCTCATTTGCTCGTTTTGCTTCTTATGTCTCTCTCTCTCTCTTTCGCCGCAGAAGTTGTTGATTCTCGCAGGCGGCGGGAAGGTGCTCGCGCTGCTACATTTCGTTATCTCGGGTATCTCGCGTGTGTGTGTGTGTGTGTGTGTGTGTGTTTTCCCGGTGACGTGTGGGCGAGTTTTTGAAGGCTGAAGGGGAAACATTCCGGCTGCGCTCTCCTCCCTTTTAAACATATTTGTACATCTCAAACGCAATAAAAACAACCAAATCAATCTCATCCAGCCGCTCTTTGAAGTCTGCGCAAATGACCTCCCTTTTTATTTTTTTTCTCAATCCTGCAGCCGCAAAAAAGTCTAGTGCAATATTTATCTCACTTCACAAAAATTTAAGTAATTTTTTCGGGGGGAATATCCTTGAAATGTTCATCAAAAGCATTCTAATCAGGCACTCCTCAGGTCAGCTAATGATTTGGCAGGAGTGGAGGGGGGCCTCGCCGGGCGGTTAGCGCTTCAAAGGGTTAGCTCATTAGCGTTAGCGCCTCTGATTATTCTGTGCTTTACTGCTACTGTACTTATGACGCACACGCTCCTATGCGAGGGGACGCTGGTTAGCATGGTTAGCATGTTAGCATGGTTAGCATCATTAGCAGCCAAGGTCAGAGCTTCAGTACACATGGCTGTCCTTCGATTTAGAATACTAAATATGTCTCCCGGATGGAGGCGACGTACGAGGAAAAGTTACAAGCTGCAGACGATTTAGAACATGATTTTATTTTATTTTTATTTTTTTTTATTCTTTTATATTCAGTGTATGTGTATTTTATATTACATTGTATCGTGCTCTTTATTCTGTCGGTGCACACAGAGTACCTTTCTTTGCAAATGTATTCCAATGTAGTTTTTATACTGCACTGGCTTCCTGTGGCTCAGAGAATAGACTTTAAAACAGCTTTGCTTGTGTACAAATCTCTCCATAGCCTCGCACCAAAATATATTAGTGACATGTTAGTCCCATATGAACCAGCCCGGACTCTGAGGAGCACAGGGACTGGCCTCCTGCTGGGACTCTGAGGAGCACAGGGACTGGACTCCTGCTGGGACTCTGAGGAGCACAGGGACTGGACTCCTGCTGGGACTCTGAGGAGCACAGGGACTGGACTCCTGTTAGTGCCCAGAGTCAGAACTAAACATGGGGAGGCTGCTTTTCAGATTAATGCTGCTAAAATCTGGAACAGTCTTCCTGAAGATGTGAGACAGGCCTCCTCTCTGACAATGTTTAAAACCAGGTTAAAGACGGTTCTGTTTAACTGTGCTACAACTGAGGGATTTTATATTTTTATCTTTCTTTTTAATGTTCTGTGATAATTTATGATTTTAATGCTTTCTTGTTTTGTTCAGCACTTTGAATTGCCTTGTGTATGAATTGTGCTATATAAATAAACTTGCCTTGCCTTGCCTTGCCATGGCTAATAAAATGAATCTGAATCTGAATCTGATGACAACAAAAGTGAGATCAAAGACAAGTGGCATTAACAACGAGGTGACAATAAAACATAAACCGTAGCTTACCCCTTAAGCTTTCTGTGTCGGCGACGGCAGGTTCCCGTCGTGTGTGATTCGGGACAGCTCCACAGAGACTTAATTAAAGTGATGGGAAAAAAGATGTCACTTCTTTAAAGATGGTTCATATTTTTAGCTCTGGATGAGACTGCGCTGGTGTGTGGCACAGAGAGGAGTCTGAGTGCTGCTGCAGCTGTCGAAAGCCGCGCATACGGACAGAGGAGCGCTGAGGGGCAGGAGCAAGACTGAGGGTTATGGGAAGACCAGAGAGAGACTAGAGAGAGACCAGAGAGAGACCAGAGAGAGACCAGAGAGAGACCAGAGAGAGACCATGAGAGAGACCAGAGAGAGACCAGAGAGAGACCAGAGAGAGACCATGAGAGAGACCAGAGAGAGACCATGAGAGAGATCAGAGAGAGACCATGAGAGAGAGACCAGAGAGAGACCAGAGAGAGACCAGAGAGAGAGACCAGAGAGAGACCAGAGAGAGAGACCAGAGAGAGATCAGAGAGAGACCAGAGAGAGACCAGAGAGAGACCAGAGAGAGATCAGAGAGAGACCAGAGAGAGACCAGAGAGAGAGACCAGAGAGAGACCAGAGAGAGAGACCAGAGAGAGATCAGAGAGAGACCAGAGAGAGACCAGAGAGAGACCAGAGAGAGATCAGAGAGAGACCAGAGAGAGACCAGAGAGAGAGACCAGAGAGAGACCAGAGAGAGACCAGAGAGAGATCAGAGAGAGACCAGAGAGAGACCATGAGAGAGAGACCAGAGAGAGAGAGACAGAGAGAGACCAAGAGAGAGAGAGACCAGAGAGAGACCAGAGAGAGACCAGAGAGAGACCATGAGAGAGAGACCAGAGAGAGACCAGAGAGAGAGAGAGACCAGAGAGAGAGAGAGACCATGAGAGAGAGACCAGAGAGAGACCAGAGAGAGACCAGAGAGAGACCATGAGAGAGAGACCAGAGAGAGACCAGAGAGAGACCAGAGAGAGACCAGAGAGAGATCAGAGAGAGACCAGAGAGAGACCAGAGAGAGATCAGAGAGAGACCAGAGAGAGACCAGAGAGACCAGAGAGAGACCAGAGAGAGATCAGAGAGAGACCAGAGAGAGACCAGCAAGAGACCAGAGAGAGACCAGAGAGAGACCAGAGAGAGACCAGAGAGAGACCAGAGAGACCAGAGAGAGACCAGAGAGAGATCAGAGAGAGAACAGAGAGAGACCAGAGAGAGGAACCAGAGAGAGACCACCTCCGAGTCCCGGCAGGAGGCCGGTCCCTGTGCTCCTCAGAGTCCCAGCAGGAGGCTAGTCCCTGTGCTCCTCAGAGTCCCGGCAGGAGGCCAGTCCCTGTGCTCCTCAGAGTCCCAGCAGGAGGCCAGTCCCTGTGCTCCTCAGAGTCCCAGCAGGAGGCCAGTCCCTGTGCTCCTCAGAGTCCCTGTGCTCCTCAGAGTTGGATCACAGGGCTCTAACACGTCACAGATGTTCTTGGGTCCTGTCTTATCCATTCCTCGCATCATGATTCTTTTCTCTTGTGTCGGTTTTATCTTTCAGAGCAGACACTAACATTTCAGGTTAATTCGGGGCCAGGACTTCAACTTCTCCGGACCTTCTCGGCGCTGAAGGATCCAAGACGCCATGAATTTGGTGTAAGTTTGCGAGTGTTTGGGTCTGAGCGTGTTTTGAGCAGCAGTAGTTTGGGCAGACAGGCGCTGGATCTCTCAGAGTGGATTTGCAGAGACGGGGTGTGAGAGGCAGTTCAAAGACCGCACCACAGGCTAAAGCTAGTCCCAGACCGCCATGTGCAGACGTGTGGTGTCTCACTTTCACATCATGTTTATATATATTTATCAAGCTGCAATTTTATTTATTAATCTACCGTATCTATAATTGCCATAAGAACCACATGTATCCGGTCTTTGCAGGTGAGCGCAGAAGTTAGACAGTTTTGTATGTTTTTCATGAATGAGTGTTATATGAGGATTATTGAGCGCAAAGTTTGTATAAAAAAGTTGAAATGACGGCACCGGCTACATTTGACATTATTATAAAGTTTGTACATGGATAGAACACAGTAGAATGTTTAAGGTTCTGTTGTGGATATTAAATACACACTTCTGTATCTTTTTCTTTTTGCAGTCATAATAGAAATGTGTATCATGATAACAACAAGAGAGAAGACACATGTAACTCTACAGCAGCAGTATCTACAGCAGCAGTATCTACAGCAGCAGTATCTACAGCAGCAGTATCTACAGCAGCAGTATCTACAGCAGCAGTATCTACAGCAGCAGTATCTATAGCAGCAGTATCTATAGCAGCAGTATCTATAGCAGCAGTATCTACAGCAGCAGTATCTACAGCAGCAGTATCTACAGCAGCAGTATCTACAGCAGCAGTATCTATAGCAGCAGTATCTACAGCAGCAGTATCTACAGCAGCAGTATCTACAGCAGCAGTATCTACAGCAGCAGTATCTACAGCAGCAGTATCTACAGCAGCAGTATCTACAGCAGCAGTATCTACAGCAGCAGTATCTACAGCAGCAGTATCTATAGCAGCAGTATCTATAGCAGCAGTATCTATAGCAGCAGTATCTACAGCAGCAGTATCTACAGCAGCAGTATCTACAGCAGCAGTATCTACAGCAGCAGTATCTATAGCAGCAGTATCTACAGCAGCAGTATCTACAGCAGCAGTATCTACAGCAGCAGTATCTACAGCAGCAGTATCTACAGCAGCAGTATCTACAGCAGCAGTATCTACAGCAGCAGTATCTACAGCAGCAGTATCTATAGCAGCAGTATCTATAGCAGCAGTATCTACAGCAGCAGTATCTACAGCAGCAGTATCTACAGCAGCAGTATCTATAGCAGCAGTATCTACAGCAGCAGTATCTACAGCAGCAGTATCTACAGCAGCAGTATCTATAGCAGCAGTATCTACAGCAGCAGTATCTACAGCAGCAGTATCTACAGCAGCAGTATCTACAGCAGCAGTATCTATAGCAGCAGTATCTACAGCAGCAGTATCTACAGCAGCAGTATCTATAGCAGCAGTATCTACAGCAGCAGTATCTACAGCAGCAGTATCTACAGCAGCAGTATCTACAGCAGCAGTATCTACAGCAGCAGTATCTATAGCAGCAGTATCTATAGCAGCAGTATCTACAGCAGCAGTATCTACAGCAGCAGTATCTACAGCAGCAGTATCTATAGCAGCAGTATCTACAGCAGCAGTATCTACAGCAGCAGTATCTACAGCAGCAGTATCTACAGCAGCAGTATCTACAGCAGCAGTATCTACAGCAGCAGTATCTATAGCAGCAGTATCTATAGCAGCAGTATCTACAGCAGCAGTCTCTATAGCAGCAGTATCTACAGCAGCAGTATC